CGATTGAACTTAGTACCGACGAACTCTGTTGCGTGGAGTCCATGTCATTCTCTCCGCCGCCATGTCCGACCCCTTCTCCTCCGCCATGTCCGGCCCCTTCTCCCCCGCCATGTCCGTCCTCTTCCCCGCCGCCATTATCGATCATCTCTTCGTCTTGCCCCGTGTCATCATTGTCTGCCCCGTCGGCATCCTCAACATCATCATCCTCATCTTCAATTATCCACCGAGTATAGCCATCCATGAAACCAGTCATGAGCAGGTGCCTTCGACACGACCATCGTCATGGGGGTCGAGCCAAACTATTCCTTTGCATTTTCGACACGGACATAAAACCTCTGTCCGGTTATTTTCTTTTATGTCCTGCACCGCCGACCGCAACCACCTGTCCACCATCGTTCCACCGACCATCGTCAACTCTGCACGATAATAATAAACAAATTGATTATAAAAATGCATGCATGCATCAAAGTCATACAAAAATTTGGCATGACCTTCCCTAAAAATAGGACATATATGGATCTAGAGTTTGCCCGGAATTCGCCGAAACGGAAATAAATTGATATTTCGGCAAAACATAGGCAACTCAAAAGCACAATTTGGCGTTAACTCATGCCACACACACAATTTCCACAAACATATCACACACACATAAACATATTTCCATTTTGCAAAAGCATGAAATTTTCATCACCTCTATCTCGATCGAGTTCGAGCACACGGTGGAGATGATGTTGTAGGGAGATCAAAAGTGCACAAAGCTCTTCTTGACAAAGATAGATCTAGTTAGGGGGCAAATAGGTCACTTAAATAAATCCTACATCTACCTAGCTACCTAATTTGGGAGGAGACAACTTCAACTAGTGGAGGGGAAAGGAAAAAGAGAAAGGAGATGCATTAATGGAGGTGGTGTAGTTAGGTAGGAGTAATGAAGTGAGAGAAAGGTGGATAGAAGAGAAAGAGTAATGGGGGAGAAGTATTGAGGAAGAAGAAGAGTGAGAGTGGGAGCATGTGGGGGAGGTAGTGGGAATGGAAGAGAGGAAGGGGAGGGGAGGCACGGGTGGGGAAAAGGTGGTGGATTGGTGCGGGTTAGCAGTAGCGCGGGAGCAGAAACGCGCTATTGATAAGAAATTAGCAGCAGCGCGCTTTGGGCCATGGCGCTACTGCTAACAGTGACAAAAAAGTGTGCCAATTTGAAATTTAGCAGCAGCGATCTCAGTAAAAGCGCGCTACTACTACATCCGTAGCAGTAGCGCGGTTTGGGCCACGACGCTACTGCTAAATGGAGTTAGGTGAACACCGCCGGTCGATATTTGTAGCAGCGCGGTTTACACAGAGTGCGCTACTGCTAAAAACTTATCAGCAGCGAGTTTCCCTCACACGCGCTACTACTAATTAGCAGCAGCGCTCCTTTTTGAGCCGCGCTGCTGCTAAGATTCTGTGTATGGGCTTTTCCCTAGTAGTGTTGGGATACTCCCAGATGGAAGCGCAGCGCATTGCCAACCGCTTGAATTGCCGGTTAGGCACATTCCCGACCACTTACCTTGGCATGCCACTGAGTGACATGCGTCTACTAGAGAAGGACTTCCGTCCAATAGTCGCCAAGCTCCAGCCTAGAATGGAGCCCTGGCAGGGGAGATGGCTATCTAAAGCCGCTCGAGTGATTCTGATGAACTCCTCCCTTATTAGCCTCTTGATGTATATCATGGGATTCTATAGTCTTCATGAATCCCTTCATCAGGAGGTCACCAAACTTCTCTCCAGATTCTTCTAGGCTGGAGAGAACAATAAACAAAAATATCACATGGTAAAGTGGTCTGAGATCTGTAAGCCTAAAGACCAGGGAGGCCTTGGGGTTATTTCTTCCAAGCGGATGAATATTGCCCTCCTATACAAGTGGCTTTGGCGGATTCAGACCGATGAGGGGGGTCTATGGCTTGAGATTATCCACGCGAAGTACCTTCACGGGCAGCCACTGGCTTTCGCCCCTAGATCCGGTGGTTCCCAAATTTGGCAATCGGTGATCCGTCTGATGCCGGTCCTACGCATTGGGACCTCCATTAAAATTGGTACCGGAGCTGGCACCCTATTTTGGCTAGATCGATGGGTAGCGACCCATCCCTTTGCGATCCGCTTTAATGCGCTCTTCACGATTTGCGCCCGCCCACAGCTATCTGTGGCCATGGCCTTAGTGGATTTGGGCGCTATTGCCTTCCGCCGCACCTTCGGGACGGTGGAACTCGAGCAATGGAATGAATTGCTCGAGTGTATTGCCTTGCACCCCTCCTCCGTGGATCCTGACTCGCTATCTTGGCACCTCGAGTCAAGTGGCAGATTCTTGACTAGATCCCTCTATCGGGCGATTGCTCCCACTCCGGGCCCAGTGGAACTAGCGGTCCTTTGGGAGATCAAACTCCCCTTGAAAATTCGCATTTTCCTCTGGCAATGGGTCTGCGGTCGCCTTCCTTCGGGTACGGAAGTCCGCAAACGTAACGGCCCCGGGGATGGCCTATGCCCCATCTGTTTGGTTCCGGAAGACTGCAATCACATCTTCTTCCGGTGCCCTGTGGCGCAGTTCCTTTGGAGCTGCTTTCAGGAGGTGGTGGGTGGCAATTGGTGCCGCGACAACCTCCCGGACCTATTTTGGGAGGTTCT